CTATAATTTTTGTTGGATGCTTTTAGGCGGAGTTAAAGTTGGTTGAAGCTTAAACTGCACGAGCACTCTTATTTTAAAGCTATCTTGAGTTTTATAATACTTTTTATTTTTGGCTTTCGTGCCTCATTGTGAAGAAAAATATTACAAGAAGAAAAACTTCATTGTTCGGGGCTGTTGGAATTCGAAGTTAGCTCCGAAAACAAAAGTAAAAAATTATCGCCCGGCCCAAGAGCCGAAGGCAGATGAAAGCATACTCAAGTAGTCTCGGTGCTTTCTAGTGTTTGCATGGCTTATTCAACTTTACCCAGTTCCAAAAAGAACGAACAGAATAGCAGGCACAAGTGTCTATGTGAGATTCGGAACGGTTGTAGGCTGAGCGGCCCACTCAGGCGTCTAGAAATCTCAAAAATGTGCACAGACTCAGCTTCATCCGCTTCCGCCCGCTTATCCTCAACGGAACCCAACTACAACGGCCCGGGCAGCCCCAATGTGCGCTTTGCCGACGATGTCTGGCAAGGCGATTTAGCAAATTAAAAGGTTTTTAATGCATGGAGTGCTCTCCTACTTACTTCATAATTTGATGCCAACTGTGCCAGGGAAATGTGAGAAACAGGACGGGCAAGGATCCGAAATCCGCAATTTGCTTCTGTGGGCTGTATTTTATTTTTATCCAAAAATTGTATTTTTGCTTTTATATAAGGATTTTGTTATCGAGTTTTCGGTAGGCCCCTTGTAATTTCCTCTTTACCTATTCCAGACGAAGTATTTATAGGCGGTATGGTCAAAGGATGTTAAGAATTTGCTTTATATCGAAAAATAAATGGAAATAAAAAAAACTCTGTTTTTCTCGATGTAACATATAATGCTTGTTTCGCGACAGATAATTAAAAAGGTAATTTCCTTACTGAATAAACACATTGCAGAAATTAACATCCGGCCTATAGCCATTGTACTCACACTTTCGAATTTCCCCCACACTTGGTTCCACCAAATCTAAATGAAGTAATATATTTAAAGCCTCTTAAAAAACAGCCACAAATTATACACTTGACTGCGACACATTGACACATCGCGAAAAACTGGAAAATGCAAAACCAAGCCTTGTTTTGCAAGCACACACACTCGACAACTGTCACGTGTCTCATTGAGTGCTTTGTTATGGAAAATTTTGCAGGTCGGAAAATTCGCATGCCCGTGGTGAGGGCGGCTTACACCCTCAGCATACTTCCCTCTTATTTCTGCACGTTCTATTATCCAATTTCCTTAATATTGGGTTATTGGGTTGTGTACTTTTGCAGGTTTCGGCGGTAATGGAGATCTAAGTGTAAGTAAATTTTTCGCCGGCATTAAAGCTTATGAATGTTCAATTGCCTTGCAAAAGCATTTAAATACGCTTTGCGATTGCCAAAATGACAGTTGAATTCTTGATAAATGTCGACGCGTGTGTGTGGTGTGTAGAATAGCACGCTGTGCCTGAGAAGCAGGGGTGTTCGTTGTACAGATTTTATTGCTTGGAAAATGGTATGCAAGTGAAGGCTGTGTCGTTATAGCTTCGGGCCATTTGATGTTACTTAAGGGCGCTACTTTCAGCAAATTAAGCCAATTTTATAATAATGGGTTAAAGCATTTAAAAGGTGTGATGGACAGGCACATGCAGCAGAAAAGCAGTAAGGATATTTATTATTAGGAATTCATAATTGGAAGAAAGTATAAAGTATTCTATACTTTACAAATAAATTTGAAATACAATTTCCTGTTATTTATTTTGAATCCTTTCCGAGCCAAGCCAAACTTTATCTAAAAGGCAAACTTTGACGGTCATGAGAAAAGGATGTCTATCCCAGGATAAAAACCTAAGAAACAACTAAAAATTCCTAAACCAGCAAATAATAATAGTTTTGTATACAAACGTTGGACTCGACCACCTCTTTCCTGCACCTATTCTCGGAGGTCAGTCTACGTCTTTGTTTACGACGCAGTATTATTGAAATCAGGATAATTGTGCAAAAGGATGCGAAGAAAAAACCGCAAATACTTTAGGTTCAGAGCGAAGTACCAGTCCCAAGTAGTCATTCATTCCGTAACGAAGATATCTCAAGAGCAATTTCAGTGCGACAAAAACAGAAAACGGGAGGGCAGTGGACGGTATTAGACGGCGAAGGCTGAAGTGGAGTGAAAAACTCTACCATGCAGAAAGTGGTCAACATTTTTGCCACTGCCATGGGCAAGAATAATAGACGTCTCCCAACAAATGCAATACGAATGCAGCTAAAAGGTAGCAATCATGGTGCCGAGTAGTCGTCGAATAATAATATCCTCCATCTTAGTTTCTGTTGTATGCTGCTAGGCAGTGGGAGTTCTTGCGGTAATAAACCATAAGACATTTCGCTTGGCATATTTTCATAAATGTGGGAATAAAGGCCTTTAAAATGAGCATTCAGTTCCGAAATACATTTTCTTTGTCATTTAGCGAATTTCGCACTAGAATGGGGATGGAAAATAATATTATAAAGAAAATAACTAAAATAATGAATAACAATTTGAAATTTGAAATTGATTGTCTTTCTAAGTAGTTAAATATCATAAGATCTGACCTATCATGGTTGCATTACCATTTCCAATCAAAAACAAGTAAAACCTTTAATTAGCACTCATAATTTATTTCTGTATAACATAACTGCTGTCGTCATTTTATCGTTGCCGCCAAGCCCATCCCAAAGGACCTTTTTTCGTAATTAATTCTAACACAGCAAAATGTTCAAAGATATTTTTGCACAAACACCATCCCACTTGCATAGCCTACATGTTTTTAAAAAAAAATATGCTTGTATGGCAGCGACAGCACAAAACAAAAGAAAATGCTAAATGCGGCGAAAAATCAAAAAGCAAAGTACACCAAAGTAAAACATGATTTGCTCTAAAATTTTCCTTCTACTCTTTTATGTGGGATTTTGTATATGCAAATTTTCGTTGGATCTTATTATAGGACTAGCTTCTATAGTCTTAGAACTGTCTAGCTGGGCCGTATTGGCTCTGCTACTATGATTTATAAACTCACGGCGTGCGCGTATTTATCAAACTCTAATTAATCGGTGATAAACCGATCAAGACGCTAAATGCTGCACTACACGAAGCCGCCAAGACACCGAAGACTCTGCAAACCCTCACAGGAGAACTGCACTTTGCGCCTGCAAACGGGTTTGAAACACCTCTTTCCGAAACTTGGCTCCGATTGCATTTTTATTTCTGGTTTCAGTTTCGTAGTCCACCGATTACCATGTGATTTGGTACACCGCAACCTACCAAACCCCACCACACCCCATCAACATCATCCTCCACATCGCCAGCCCCTTTTTGGGAGTACGAGTATTTGTTGAAGCAATTTGCTTTCCTGCATCTTGTGGCTGACCAAGACGACTGCGATGCAATCAATATATGCTCGTGTCCAGCAAATAATAGACTTCAAACTGGCATTTTAAAAGTTTTTTTTTTCATAGCCAAAGTCTTGGTAAGAAGTGCGACCGAGCCTGGAAGGAGTCCGCCAATCGTTTGGGGGTTTCAATTCATTGCTCTTACCAACGGCAGAACACTTTTCCCCCAAATGCTCACATAGTTAAACTTATGAACAGTTCGGTTTGTGTTGCACTAACAGGGGCCTCCAACAAGGTCCAGCTTACTTTCCCTAAAGACTAGCAACAACGAAGAACAGCGCTCCGCAGCAAAGCTAGAACATCCTGTATATGTCATAGCAATGAACTCTAATCCACTCTAGCAAATCAATTTATTAGCCACGTATGACTTATGCCTTTTTAAATGAACGCTTGCATGCGTTCTCTATTTTAAGGTTGAGCGTTTAGAGATTGGCCATCCCTCAAGGGCGAGCTGAGTCGCAGGATACTCTTAAACAGCGGAGGCACAAGATATTTATGTTAACATGGTCTGCGTAGCGCCTTCTGGTATGTAATTTGGCATTGTTTAGGTATCACGATTACGATACGACTTTAACTGGCCTGTCTGCCGACCCTAAGACGGTACAAATAGACCATAAAATACGAGCACTCGTATATGTGCTTTGCAATAGTTACTTGGGTGTAAGCCATGATTATCTCTATTATACGAGATGTGTGCAAGGAAAATACAGTTATGGGAAAACGTTTAGCGTGGATAGTAAGCGTGTGAAACGACCTTTTTGAGTTACATATGTGTACGCGTATTTGGTAGTGTGTTTACTTATGGGACCAGAATGACTTCCCAAGCAATGCCGAAGTCAACAAACAGGGAAATATCAATTACATAGGTAGGCGGCACCCGTTGCCAAAAAATGCGGGAAAAAATGCTTAGTTTTTCTTGCTTCACTTTTTGGACAGCTTTTGCCATTTGCGAGTATGCACATAAACGTTGAGTATAAATTGAAAAAGCCATTTTGCTGCCAATTTAGCAAACACTTAAACCAATTTTGCACTTCAATCCACCGACGCACACAAAAAAGGAGTGTCTCACACCTATACAGTTCTTATTCAGCTGAAGCCACACACTTGCACCCGGATCCCAGGCGGATGAAAGTCCATGGAGCCTGCATCGACGTTGACTTTGACGCGGTAACAAGGACGACCCAAAAGCCAGTTGCCATACCCCACAGGGGGGAATGTGTAGGAAGCTTCCAAAACGTTGCCAACAAAGTGTGAAAATGTCAAGTCGTAAAGTGTCCACTGGCTAAGGGGATGCAGCGAGCGGAAGATGGGTTCAGTCTGTAAAGTGAAATATTTACAAGAAAGTGGGCTGCCCAGAGACACCCTTATCTGTTCGGGCAGTTTTAGTTTAATAGTCTGCTTTGAGAGGGGTAATACCATTTAAAATTGGAGGGAACTCGGTTGGTATTAGTGGAGCAAAGTTAATTTCCAGAAAGACACGTAGTTTTGCAGTATGGGAATTAAGGCATTTATGTATGTATTTATGCTAAACGAGGAACTAGTCACCTCTGTGTGGAAAGTCATGTGCAATTGATGTTGTAAACTACTTTCGAATTTATAATGTCCTGTATATGCCAATTCCATGATCTCGGGGACATTGACACCAGAGACCTAGTAGCGTTTCCTTTGCCTGCAAATGACGACATGAGCGCTTTTAACGAGTGAGCGATAAATTAACTAAAAATTAAAATATCTGTGGTTACCACTGGACTTTTATTAGGGTGGATAAAGAATCATCAGAGCATAATGGTCCTAAGATTACGTTGTCGGCCTCAGATCTATCCGACTGTCGTGCAGAAAACTGGCTCCTTAAGAAAAAGTTACAGGACTACGAGGTTACAATCGAAAACCTGGAGCAGTTGGTGACTACTATAGTTGAAAAGCAGCATCAAATTCTAAGCGAAATGTTTTACCTACGCAAAGAAAACCGAGAGCTGCAATCCGAGTGTCATCTTCAACGCGAGTATCACTCAATGGAAAGAAATGCCCTGATGAGGGAGCTGCATGACGCTCAAATCTTGTGTAGAAGTCGAAATCTGGTCATGGTAAGTGCAAACGTAAAGAAACTAGAAGTGCATTTCTAAACGACAAACGCAGGGGTGTCAATCAGATGGACATCAAGGCAGTCTAAGCTTAACACCTGGGGACCCGATCATAAAATCGGATTCCTCCTTTGGTGACTTTGAAGAGGAAGACATGAGTGAATCGGACGACGGTGATCAGTGCGATTTGAGCGGTTCAAGTCAAAATTCTGGTAGGACATCACCATCCTTGTCAAGCTCAGTATCAGAGTACTCGGAATCGGCTGACGACAGATTTCTTAATTACAGCAGCTCTGATTAAGAGCCATATCAGTGGTAGCGATTCGAACTAACCAGACAAATATTTACTACTTGATGCCTTTGAGCTTAAATGTACGAGTTTATATATTTTTTTCAACATTAAATATAGATCATTTATAGGCAACACTTTCAAGCATGACTTTAAGTTGCCATTTATCGCATTAAGTAATCAGAACAAAAACGTGACAATCGCACAAAACAAATCAACAATAAGTTTGACATAACGTGACGGTATCAGATTGTCTACAGACATGGCACTACAAAGAAAAAACGCATTGAGAAAAATAAAAGAATACCGGTGCCGAAGTATTTGCATATCAAAACGCCAAAGGGCTGCAGAAAACACGTTGCTAAAGTGCTCTCCATGTCGCTGCCACACAAATATGATTGAATGGTGAGTAAATATATGGTCGTCAACAGGGGAGTATTTAAATTACTGGCCAAAACGTGTTAAGTGTTTATCTATCGAAAAAGTTCAGGCCAAAACAGCTGCCAGCCCTTTTACAGCTTCTGTCTTCACTCTACATGGTTTGGGGTTGGCTCCCCACAAAGTTGTAAGAGAAGCGAGAATGTGTGCTTGTATTATGGGCAATTTATCAAGCAGAAAGTTTGCAGCACAAATGAGTCGTGGCAAGGCAGCCGAAGGGCACCCGGGCACCCGTTTGCCACCAGGATTAATGAGTCTCGTGTGCTGCCTGTCCTATTCTACATCCTTGAAACCCGTCTCACAACACGTACCAATAATCCATCATGAGCCCTCTTCGAGTGGCAACTTGTGGAAGCTTTTGGTTTCTCGCCAAGATCGCTTGTCTTGGCTGCATTTCGTGTGAGGTTTTTGGATACTATGTATGGGTGATATTATCACCAGAAGTTATGATATGTTATCTCAGACTTGTAAGATGTTACGACGGGACCATAGTTTCTCTGTTAGTACGAACAAAAGAGCATATTGCAATGCAATGTCAAAAACCCTGCGCTGTTCGCTGCTGGCCTGCAAGGACTAACACAGAAATAATTAATGACCAACGGCCTCGACTCAATGTATACACAGTCAAAAACTGTTTGCAATATCATTTATCAGTTCAGAATTTTGTTTAGAAACTTGTTGCGCACAAAAAAGATTTTCATGTACACGTGAGAAGTGCAACGGATACCTTCCCAACGACAAGGTACGAGGACTACCGCAGCAAAAATGGATTGGAAACGAGATGTGAAACCAAACAAGGCATGAAAGAAACGCGCAAACTTACGTCTGAAATATATTAATATGCAATGCTGACTTGGCAACCATAAACGCCTTGCGAATTGCATTATGATAGGTGCGGTGCTGTATCAAACTGCTGCTGAGTTAGTTCCTCGCACCGACATATTTACAGCGGGATCTGCATCAGAAGCTGCATCAGCATCTCCTATGCCACCAAGAAGTAGCTTAAAATTTGGAGAGTGTGAGCATGGGGACGTTTTTCAATTCTACTGGGTAAGAGATTAATAGATTTTCGGTTCAGCTTACATTGAGATCTACTATATATAAAAAAAAAACATGAAACTGCTAAGTGGTTGACGGTTGACTTTGTTAATGGCTTGGTTGAATAATACGACCAAGCGACCAATGCCGCCTTAGTATTATGTTGTAGCAGCTGCCTCTATCCGATGAAAATCGTATTTTCTGGATCAACGCCTACCTACTTACTGAACCGTGAAAATACACAAAACATTTGCAAAAAACTGAAAAAACGTATTTGCGTGTTCTAAGCAATTTCAAACCAATAATCGTTGGGTGTCTTTTAAATTAAGTAACCAGAGCCATGCAAGCCAAATATTATGCCACATTGACATGTCTATCAATACTGCTATGATGGTTTTGCTGGGAAGAGCGCAAGGACTTTTTGTTGGTTTTTAATTTAACTAATCTAAAATTAAAATCATTTTTACTCAGCCCACAGGAAGTGTGGCATAACGACAGAAGAACGAATGAGTGATACATGGCGCTTAATAATCATTGCTCAAAGTCAAGTTATGTGGCATACCCGTACTACTTTGAGGTAGTAACGAATAATTATATATTTTTGTATACATGCATATGTAAAACCAAAGGTACAGAATTACAGTATGACTCCCCAAGTCCTAAAGCTGGGCTAAATTTTCCCTTATAGGCAATTGGGTTTAAGTCACTGAAGCGCAAAGTTATATACAGGAGAATACTACCCAAGGCAGACCACATTTCTCCAACTAAACTGCGCTTCTCATATAATTTCATTTCGTTTGACACAAAACCTGGCTAACAACTTTCTCCAAACTTCTGGGTAGGGTAAATGTTGAAAAAGGGTAATATTTACTTTATACACCAGAATACATTCACCTGTTTTTTATAGGGTTTCTCATGCATATTTATGCAACTTAATTTTTCATTTAGGCGAAGAAATGAAATCGAACAGTATTTGTTTCAACAAATGTGTGTATGTACGTTATATTTTCAAGAGCCTGAACCCCTTTCCTTGACGTAATTAGAAGTCCATAATATTGTATTCCTGTCAGGATACCCTTTTGTCCAATGCATATTTATGAGTATAGATTTAATAAACATTTATATATATCATTGTGATTACAGTTACCGATTGGTTTACGTGTATAAACAAAATAGTTTTGTTGCTACAGAAGCATTAATTAGGCACAATCAATGGCCCAATAGTAACGAGTAAGGAAACTATCCTTCGCAGGTTCCCTTCATAAACATTTATCATTACCAAAAGGAGTCAGAAAACATGTATTTCCCGTTTCTTGCAATTGTTCTGAGCACTCTGACCGCATTCGCAAAAATCCAACGTGGAGCTGTAAGAGATAATATCGAATCATACTTATTTGTGTGCAGAAATCCATTTTCTAAAGTAGAGAAAATAATATGGCAAACAGCAAGGTGAACGATGAGCCGCGGAAAGTGCAACATGTGTTGCACCCAGAGGATCGGAACGATTACGATCGTTATCACCAAATCAGCGACCGCGGTTAATACAGCTGTACACGACGGTGCGCGGAGAAGGCTATCCAAATTAACGAGCGGCAAGCACGAAACAAGCACACATGGCCTCCACTTTGGTCTCGCAGCCTCCAAGAAAGGGAATGAGTCCAGATGCAGCTGCGAGGAGTTGGCCACATTATTTGCGAATCTAGCACTTCGACTACTACCGCTACCAGCGAATGGAAAGCTATTATGCACCAGTCAGTTTGCACTTGACCACTCTTATACATCTTCTTTGTAAAATGTTGTGAAAAAGTTAGCGAACGGCAAGCTGAAAAGATCGAAATCGGCGTTTGATCGCCTATTCGCTGGGCCATACTTCGATTACAGTTAAGTAGACAGCAAGCTACTTAACCTCCAGCTAAAGCGGTTGACTTTGACGGTCTGCTCTTGCTGGAAGGGTGAGGAAGAGCCGACTGCCGATTACCTTGTTTTGGCGGGGCGTCATTTTTTAGTAAATTACTTTAATAGTATAAACATAATCATTTGTACTGTAGCTGCTGCTCAGCAACCAACACAACACAGTGCAGTGCACTATACAAGCGCAAGCTGTAGGTGCTTGCATTTTGCACTGCGGAGAGCAACGAACTGACTATGTTCTAGTAGAAACTTCATTCTAGTAACAAAGCTGTTATTGACCGGATCACAGTTTTCTTGGTAAAAGTAAAGCATTTAAAATTAAAAGCATCACATATAATGCTGGACAAAACATTGAACCTATAGGTCGCAAGACGAACTATGGAATGATCGCATCGAAGGATGGGAACGTGTTTTATGGTTTTTATAAATTTGTCCTATTCAAAAAAGTTTTTACGCTTGCTCGCTACGAGTTCAAGAGGTGAATTCAATTAAGCTGAGACCAACGATCCACAAATTCGAGGATTCAAAACGCAGCTGTCAATGTTTTCCCCCTTTTCAACAAAAAGGTGTCCCCTGGCAAGAGCCTTATTTAAATTTTTAATCAATCTTATTTGCATACGCAGACTGATGTGTGCATCCGTATATCGCTTACCTGAGTATTCAATATCGGTAGACAAGGATACCCGAGGATCGCCCAAAAAGGGATTACTTCAAGCAGCTGGATGCTGTGATAGCTCTGAAAAGGGTTGAAATTCCCTCTCTCCGTCTTTTCTGAACCTAAAACCGTTGCGCGTACAGTTTTTTTGTTTCCTAAAAGTATAAAATGCACACCAATTTGAATGAAATAGCAAGAAAAGTGTGGCAGAAAGAAAAAGAAACGACTATGAAAAAAGCGCGAAAACCACGAAAATTTGTGCATAATTTATTGAAATTTCGTGCCACAGACAAAAGAGTCAAGGCAGTAGAAAAACCATGAGCAAAGCATCGTAGTCCGAAATTGCATGAAATGTGTTTCTATTTTCCCACTGCGTTGTGGTGCTCCGCGCTGCATTATCCTGTTTGGCTTGTGTGCATTTATTTTTCATTTGCATGAATTTTTCATTGTTTTCCCAGACACGAAAGGAGCTGCCGCTAGGATGCACTTAACGCTCCATGGGATCAAGGACAAACACGCGATATTTGTCCGCGGGAAATCAACCGGCAAATCGAGCTCAACTACGTTGGACTCTGGGTAGACACTAGGTGATACATATATAGACATTCATCCGTTTGATAAACTTCCGAGGAGCATAAGCAAATATTTTTCTTTTTAATGTGGCAAAATCTATATCTTCTTGTAGCCTTTGACGGCTCTGTGGGAAGAACGCAAACAGATTTTACACAATTTGTTTCACACAATTGTTTGTTTTAGAAAGACCTCTTTTAAAGAAAACTAAGCACAAATGCATATCGGCATTTATTTTCATTTATCTAAATTAGTAGTTCTTATATTTAAATATGCAGCAATATTTTAAAAAATTTGAGCAGCCACGGACGGTCTTCAGCCATTTTCCGAGAATTCGGGGGTGTAGAGACTTAGATTTAATCGAAAGCTAAATCCTTTACACGAGTGTGTCCATATCCTAACAACAACAATGTGGACGCATGTTCACCCCATCTCAAGCATTGCAATTGTCTAGGAGGAGGGTGGCAGCGTAGGTTGGTGGTGGTGCGGTGGTGGAATTTTTGGCGTCGGTGGTTGATAAATGCAATTTATCATAAAAAGAAAAAAAATAAAAGCTCGAAATTGAAGCAGACGACCCCTTCGAGGAAGGGGGTGGCGTAAGAGTCAAAGTTGGTCATAGAAGTAGGGTGAATGGGAGGGCTAACATGGCACACATAAAAACACCCACAGTCAGCTCATCTAATAAGGCGCATTTAGCGTCTGTCAGTCTCGAGTGTGGAACGAAGAAGAGCAAGAAAAAGGCAAATAGGAAAAGTTATGGAGCTGTAATAAATTGGATTAGTTCGAGAAGCACCGCCATTTTGTCTTTCCCGCTAAAACGTACGAGCAGCTCACATATAAATCTGGAGGGCGAGAAAAACTTAAATATACGCTTTCCAAGCCGCATGCCGTTCTTCATTTGGAAGGGATTAGCGGGAACTACACGGGTTAGGAAAGGTGGTAGCATCAAAAGCACAGGAGACAGAAAAGCTCTCGAGGGCGCCACTTTCATTGAAAGGCCCGTCATCTATTGGACTCTAGGCTACGTGCCAAATCAAAATCAGATTTATATTTTTCGTTCCTGAAGTGCACTTCAATTTGAATATGAAAGCGATTAATTTATCCCTTTGTTCTGCCTAATATTTGGCACCTTTACACTTTTGATTGTTAAATGATTGTATTCTACGTTTTCGTTTTCAATTTGTCTTTCATGTGACCCGCGATCTCCTCTGGCAGCATCTATTCTCAACCTTCCCTTTTGTCCGTCGCAAAGTATATGAATTCAAATGATCCCTGACGATAATTTGATGCAGCTACCTTCCAGAGCAATACTATTTTTCGATCCGCTTACCGTCGACAATCAGAAAAAAAGTAATTATTTTGTTTTGCCTAATGAACTCAAGCGCATATAACAATCAAGTAATTAAAGGTCAAATTTAATTTCTTAAGCTAGTTTCGGTAAGCTGAAACGTATATACCCTTGCAGTAACACGATTGTGATCGAATTAAAATGATAAACAATTGAGGATTGAACATAGGAGTCCCTTAACTATAAGGTACCCTTTCATCAGCTAGTGCAAGCTCGAATGAGGTAATTACATTTTTTTTCTTTTGGCTTGCCGATAGAACCTGCCAACAGCGTGACAAATTTTTGCGCTTGGGGGACGTTTTTAACATATCGGTTGAATATGGCAAGACAAATAATAATATCAACTAAAATTGAAACATTTTTAAAATGTTTGTGGGTGTTAGAGTGGGCTTGGCTGCGTTCTTGCGCTGCGTCTACGTCTCTAGAAGTTCATTACAGATAGGTTAATATCAAATCTTTATTATGTTGAAGGTGCCTCTTAATTAGAGATTTTATTTAATCTAAGATTTAGGTAATAATACTTTTAACATAATTAATGTTTGTGAGACAGTATAACGGTAGAAACCAGAGTATGGTCAAAGCGACTATAATTTTTTCCTTAGTTTCGTCGGGAAATTTTGACGAAAAAATAAAAAATCGCTCATTAGTGTTTATTAAACAGTAAATGGGAATTTACAGAAATATTATAAAATCCTAAAATTAAATCCTTAGATAAATCTCCTACTTTAACCATTTAAAAAAAAAAAAGCGTTTTTTATGCACATCAATCAAAGATAACTTAAGCCTTCACCCCTATACATACCTTATCCCCTATTTTGTTTTCCGCCTGCAGGCTGTTAATTTATTTAACTACCGAGCTTTTAAGGCCGTGCTAACCCACATATCAAAGCTTCGTTTGCCATCAAATGGATTTCATTTTGAAATCCAATAAATGTCAAAAGGAAACATTTTCTAGCTGGGACAACCCTTTCAGTCACTTCATCTACTTGTGAAGGCATGGTATATATGTATATCGTAAAATGAAACATTTTCGGTGTACATAATGTAAGAAGCTGTTTGTGTGTGTGTAAGTACTCGTATATGTACACAGCGTATTTCGCACTTTACGCAATTTTCCCCGCCAGCGCAAAAAGGGTTGAAAGTGCGTTAGGACATGGAAGGACAACACCCCAGCACACGCACACGCACTGCGGCGTTGCCAGACTGTCATCGCTTTTAGCATCTTCATCGGCTTGCCTGAAACCCTTTCTCCAACGGACTTTGTTCTCTGCTGGAGGCCATTATTATTTTGCTTTCCAGTCCTTTTACTTAGTTCGGACCTACCACTCCCCATCATTCCTTTCTTCCCCGTCGTTTTCTTCGACGGTTTTATAATTTTCTTAAAAATATTTTGGGAGTAAACTTTCTAGATTTAAGCCCTTCCCGGCAGCTTTTCTTACCCAACCAACCCTCCTCCGGTTTCGGCAAACCATTCCCGAGGTTTTGTGGTTAGCATGGCTTTACGGCAGCTTCCAGTGAACTCTTCTACAGCTTCATTGCTGCTTAACAGCGACCAGCGAACTCGCGTTTTAATCTCATTTTATGAAATGAAAATTTTTCAATTTTTCGACAAGAGATAAACTTTTTCTACTTGAATGCGTAATTACTCGGCTTTGGAATGAAAATGCTATGAATTTTCGTTGGGTTCTCTGAGGACTTCTGTTGGTAACCATTGGCGATGGTGAAGCTGCCGCCCCTGCTGCGGTAGTCGTTGATGCTGCCACTGCTGGCGTTGATTTCCATAATGGCGGGCGATAGATATATAACTGTTAAGATTATTAAACCGAGCTAAAGTACTGGCTGACTTATGATGTGGTCAAGAAAGGGGTCATCGGGGATTGGAGCAGGAAAAGCAGTACCGAATTTTTACGTATTCCAAGTCTTACCTTGAAATAGTATATGTAATTCATTTTTTTAAGTACATTTACAAATGTTTCGATTTGTTTGTTAATTTTCCAAATTGGAAAATATTTGATAAAATTTCCAAAACAATTATCATCTTTAAAACGAATGTGAGCGATCGGAATTTCATTAGTGATTGAAGCACCCTGCTTATAATAAGCGAAAAAGCAGAAAAAATGTAAAAACAAAAAAAAAAAACCAACCGGAAAACAAAGAAGTCTGAAGATGGTAAACCTTTTTCCCCAACTTTTAATGAGCAAACATACATACATACACACACGTTACGTCGGAAAACGCATAAAAAGCGTTGAGGGCGCGTTGCCAAGAGACTAGAAGAAGAATTTAAATTTCTTGGCATAAGCGGCCTACAACCACAGGCACAAAACTCTTATGTACATATGTATGTACATACATAAATTCTAAAAAATATTCAAGTCAATTTAAAATGATTTGGTTTTGGGTGAGTTCGAAGAATACCGAATATGATAGCTTTGGGGGTTAATTCTTGAAATACGAAATTCGAAACTGCCGACTAAAACTATAAGATTCCTCAGACTTTATGTTATAAAAGTTATAAACTTATGCTACAGAAAGATATCGGCCATAGCTGCTGGAGCTTTCGGTAAGACTTTTTCAATATTTACTAAAGTATTTAGCTACAAAATTATTTACAATTATTTATAATAATCTGCAGAGCATAACAATTAAGGGGTTATCGAGATTTGCAAATTGTAAAATGAAGGACTGTTTACAGAAGATGGGCTTGTATTAAACCATTATGAGTTATCACTACTTTCATTTGTGTACATATTGTTCTTATAAGTATGAATGTACCTTTTTAAAAATCGTTGGCGTTTCTGCAAATACAAGCCCCTTTTTCATTTTACCCTACTATAAATCCTGATACTGAACGTTTCACACTTTGCAAATGGCATAAATTATTTAAACTCATTTAATGGGCCGCTTCTGAGGAATCTCTTTTTACGATATACAATTTTTATTTTCGGGTTTCTTTGCCACCCTTCAAATGTTGTTTTGTTCTCTTTTCGTGTTCGCTTTTTTTTTTGGGTAAAAGAAAAGAATTTTGTTGGAAAATTAAAATAATGTGTTCGCTGTCGTCGCCAGACGCGACGCTCCGTCTTGGTGGGATATGGATGTTGATTTTACGCATGGAACAAAAGCAGGGAATAGCAAGTGACTTTTAGAACGAAGTCGGACTATACACACTTTGAAAAGCTCTGATAACTTATATTCAAACATGAAGTGTCCCTCCCTGCTTTCTAAATGGTGGTAAATCGGTAAGCCAACGGTCAAGCATAATGGCCCTTGACCCCTTCCTACAATCTAAAGCCAATTAACGCTGCTTGAATTGATAATAAGGCTCATGTCATGTTTGCTTTGTAACACAACCCCTAATAACACGCTGCTTAATTCGTGTTCACACTGACCACACAGTAATCAAACGAGGGGACGAGAAGTAAAACAGGAAGTGACCAGGCGAGACAGGCCCAATATGAAGCGGTCAGCTCGGTCAACTGGTTTTTAACTGACCCGCTGACTTTTGAAGTGTTGGTCCTGCCTAATAAACTATTTAGCCTTCGCTGTGGGCTGCGCATAAATTAGCACTAACAATATAAACCAAGAGAACTACATAGGGGGATTTTATAGCAGTCATTGACCAATTACCAGCGTAATTGATGGATATCCCGCATTAAAAAAAGGCTTGAAAAGTCGAGCACCTTTTATTACGACTTGATCTTGTTTTCAAGACGAATAGGCCATGTCAACAAATTGTGCTTTCTAATATTGTTTGTTACTGAATACCAAAATTAACAAGACGGTCCGCAACTGCTGCAGCATCCGCCCCCGCAGCAAGGTCCACATGGTCCACTATAAAACCCGCATCGTGGTCCGAAACAGCGGCCACTAAAGCAGGGGCTACAGCAAGGGTAGTAGCAAGTTCCACAGCAGGGTCCGCAACACATCACGAAGCTGTTCTAGTTCTAAACACCTTTACGTTAAAACATATATAGCAAAACATAGATATTTTAGCTTACTCACACAAAAAATTTCCAAAAATGTAAACAGGTAACAATAAATTTTGATGTTGTCGTGTTGAAGGCCAGTGTAAGACTAAATATATCTCGGCAGTAGAGCCTGTTCACAAATTTGACAAGCTACGGAAACCCGATCAGGGCAAATGTGATCTGAATAACTATTTTTGTAATTGTCCCTATTTGCATGTGGGTAACTAACAACGTTAAATTAGTCTGCCCTGGTCACTACCACTGGATTAACTTTGTCCCGAACTCATGTGGTAAATGTGAGTGGCCACCACCTTAGCATTTAGCTCACACGCACACGGCACGCGTTTTGTGTCGCAAATATCATAGCAAGCCTAATGACCACTACGCATTTCCGCCAGTGCCTCTTGGAACATATATTAATATACTAAATATTCCAAATGCTCCTACCCAACGCAATCAGCAAAGAGTGTGGTATATTAAAAACTAATTTACCAGCAAATGAGTTAACATTTTTTCCTTTTGCTGGTTCTACTCCAAAAAGGACTCCGAGGGAGCCAAAAGAGACGGAAGCACATGCTGTTCGACTCGAGCTTGACCGGAACTTCCATACGTGCCGGAAATGCGTGATTTTTGGTAAAGTAGAGCATAATTTCGGGTCGATATGTAAAAGCTAAGCGTTATGCCTCATATTTAAGAAAGCTAATTGCTTGAAACCAACCCGAGGTTTTAAGCATATATGCTTGACGAACATTTTAAGTTAAACAGAAGTTTGATTTATTGGCTATAGTATTTTTATTATTGTATTATAGTCAAGTTCCCTTGCCTTCATTGTTTGATTATTTAAAATTCTTTGTTTGATTCTGTCATTTACTCCTGACGAGTTCAACAGTCTCAGCTTCATACATACCTAAAAATGTGGTAAGCATCACCTCGGGATCGATTCGTTGTTTCTTTCGGCTTGGAGTTCTGTTTGTGTTTGTTGTTCGGGCTTGTCATCTGGCTAAGCTCTAAAAATTAATGATGCGCGGCACATTCGAGAGTCCCCTGCTGTCATTGGCTGAATATCCAAAAAATATGTAGATGTGCAAAAAAAAAAATTAGAAACGAAATTCACATTCGCCGCTTTAAGCTGCGGCTTAGATTCGCTTGCTCATTGATGAAAATTAATGAGTGTGCGTGTTGTGTTCGGTAAATATTCACAAGGAATATTTTCGGAGATTCTGTATTTATTTCCTGCCCCGGGACCTTACTCTGACTCAGATATGGCGTATTCCCCTACAGCGAACTACAGACTCAGGACTAATTTGCATAATTACAGCCCGTAATTTTTTTCGTTTTTTACGCAGCAAGAAGAATACACACGAATTGTTTGTGTGCGCCCTTTAGCAAAGGGACGCAATTTCCTTTTTTGTGTATGGCTCTTTTTTACTTGATATTTGTTTATTACGCAACCATATACACACTCACATATTCGCTGGTTCTGGATATTCAATGAACAACGTACAACAATGCATTCTTTGAAAAAATTGAAATAGGTTGAGTATGACAATATCACTGATACTCATATTTTGAATTTTCCGATGGCTCTCTCTCTCTATTTGCAGGGCACTTTTATTTATTCACCTACAATGAAGAATATAAGATATAAGATATAAGAATATAAGATATAAAGTATTCACCGATGCAAACCCCGAAAAGTCTGAATTCCAATATTTATAATCAGTAAAAATGGTCCTCGAAAATCTCATTAAAATGTCGCGCTCCCCCATTTCCAGCTACATATATACAAATGCAACCCTCAAAGTTAAGCTATTTTCCTCATTTCGGGGTACATATACGGATTTTTAAACTAATTTCAAGTCGCGCTCTTCTCTCATTTGCTTGTGTTTTGCTCTCAATTCAAGGATGGAATCGTCGGACTCGGGACAATCCAGATTGTGAGTTCATTCCACTCATTAGCATGTGCTCGGCGTAAAAGAAAATTGTGAAGGGAGAAGCGGTAGTTTTTCATGTCTGCCTTCTTCCTTTAAATTTATCGATTTTCCTGGATGGGTCGCACAGCTATTTACCGTTGCTAGCTAATGAGGTACACTTGTGTTCCGGTTTGCTCGGACTTCACTTGGGCACACTTGGCCCAAGCGGAATCATTCAACGTTACTGGCTCCGCTGATTATAATCAGCATAATATGTACTCTCTTACACTTCAACAGTTCACGCCACGGATCAGTGAAGTGAAGCTCAGCTCGTCCTGACCGAACCCCTCCCTTTCCTGCGGCTTCGATGCGTAGTGAGAACGGAAAGTCACAGCGACCAGACTAGCGCTTCTCTGCCATTTTTATAGGCTGTAATGACCGTAATCAGGTTAACGTTAACGTTCAGTTTACCTACTGATTTGCTGGCACTTGGCAGTCACTCCTTTTCCTATTCCCCAGTTTGAGGCACGGCCTCTCCCCAGTGAATGTGTGAACATTGAGAGCCTAGTTTCCGCAAAGCCGTTTAAAGTTTCAGAATACCCCGCAGGTAATTTTACAGAAGATTTTAGAAGCTTGATTTTAATCAAAACGGCGAGGCTTCCAGGTTAAGGCAAGATCGTGGCCGTTGTTTGCTGTTTTTTGACCATCCGAAAATGCCTTTCTCCCGCACGTTAGCTGTTTATATAATTATGATATTTGATTTAATGACGACTTGCTTCCGAAAGAATCCAATCAAAAAATTTGATTGAAGTGGGCGTCGCACCAGCAAAACAGGAAAGTAACTTCTGCTGCCTGCCTGGCAGGCGTGATACTATTTCAAAGGTCAGGCAGCTTTAAGAGTTTCTTACACTTGCTAATGGTAAGACAGCTTCAAAATGGTTTAAGCTGATTTATTGTAATGGCCAACACCAATCGCTAAGCAGTCATGGCCGCTTAACTGAAAGTTTATAACTACCTGATCGACCAACACACCACACTCACACGCCAATCCGATCCTTGTCCTTTAAATTCTTAATTTGCAATCATTAGCAGGCACAGGGGATAGGGCCACTGCGAAGAGGTCCGATATATGTACACATCTCAGTCTTTCGATATTCAATTTGGGGGGCTAACAGAGCAACTGCGGCAGGAAGTCGAGTTTCCATTTCACTTTGCCAAGAGCAAAATCAAGGCGGCAAAATTTAATACCCATATATCGTTACCAAGCTGCTTTACAGCACACACGTCCTGGCCACAAAGATCTCAGATTCAAGATCCGATCGTCGTGCACCTCCTGCCTGCCTCTGATTTTTAAATTGAAAATAATAATTTTGCGCACTCAATTTTTAGCGATTTGTCAAAACATTGTTTATTGTCGAAGCCAAGTCCCGATTCTCCAACATTCAAGTCCGACTCTACTTCGCCTTGGCGCTGTTCTGTGTACTCTCCTCCACCGCGGCGGCGCACTTTAAGTTAATTGAAATATTTCAATGATTTTCGCCCTGTGGTTTCTTCTACCTGCCGACGCGTCGTGTGTTCGTCTTTGGGATCAAAGGGGATTCCTCTCTGCATGCGCGGCTGCGATCAAAGAGCTTTTTGCATATTCTCGGTGTACTTCTCTGGCTGCCTTTTAATAGAATTGAACGCTCATTTCTATCTCAATTGATTTATTTCCTACCATTTTCCGTTCACGAGTTTAAGCCTCTTGCCATTTATTGTATGAGGATTTCTGCATTGATTCTTATTGCATTTTGACCGCTAGGCGCCATTACGCTTTTAAATTGAGTGATTATAGTTCATGGAATAGCGAGCTAGTACTGACATGGGTAATTATTATAGGTAAATATTAGAAGTCGATTTATTTGTACTTAATGAAAGAATCGTGAGCAACGACGGATAAGCTTTAGCTGTTTTTAAAGAGTTAAAGCTTAAACTGTCAATAACAGGGTTGAATACAAAAAATACATCTTAATACAAAAATGTACATTTCGCATTTTATAGATGTGCTAGTTTGGTTTCAAAAACCAACAAATTTGGTCTTTCTTATTTTTCAGCTCACTTGAAATGATTAACTGCTTCATAAGCTTGAAACCAATGTCTGCAAAGCATCTAGTCACTTGCCCACAGGCCTGCTGAGCACTTCAGCGGTAATCCTGAGCTTTGTAGCCCACAAATTTGGGGCTTGTTAGTTCTCCCAGACTGCACCTCATCTCAGCAATACTTCAGCATACCCAAAGTTTTTGCCATCTGGTTGCGCATAGGCAAAAGGCGTTCTTTCTGTGAGTGTATAACTGTCATACGCTATTTCCACTGCAAAGTCCGGCTAAAAATTGTATACAATGTCAAGCAGCCAACGCCCCAAAAGTTTTTAAGCCGTCAGAAGGCAGCGCGTAAATCTTTTGCATAATTCAGTGCCTGCTTTTTCTTGTGCCTCTTCAGGCCCACTTGAGGGGCCACTTCCATCTCCTATCCCAGCGCTGGCTGCCACACCAATGGCTCATTCCACCCTCACGCACTGTCCCCCGCAGTCCTTGTTTGTGTCCATCCAGTCGCACTGGCGAAGAGCCCTCTGTCTGTACCCATTCTCTGGCAGCATCTTGGTGGGTGCCCGATGTAAAGCCTCCGCTGTCCTTCATTCGCGCCCAACCTACCCTTGGCCTCATCCTGGTCGCGTGCGTTTTATAGTTAAACATGCCACCCATTTAATAATCATCCCTCCACGTTTCTGTAATGTCGCAGCCACATGTAAATGATTTCTTCCTCGCCCTCCTTGTCCAACGCAGCTCCACGCTTTGCTACTTTCACGGGGTCTGTTCAAACACACTCTAGATGTCCCCCTGCTTGCGCAGATAAATGTATATACACTTTTTAAAACTTATTCCAGAACTCCTGTTGGGAGTGTGCTCAGAACCACGGGATTTTTCCTTAGTCTCTCGGGGCGTCATTTGTAAAATGCGAAGGTGAAGGATTTTTCAATTCCCGTTCCTGCTTCCCACTGACGTGTTCAGTTCCTTTGCCTTTGTTATGCCACTGTGGAATGAATTGCTCAGAGACGGCGGCATTGTCTTTTATTTGATAACATTTCAATGTATGCCCCACTGTTGTAAATGCCAATTTATTTTCATCTACGCACTTCGATTCTTCTTCATACACCTTAATTTTTATTGCTATTTAGCAAAAGGTCAGAGGGGTGTAGAT